GAACGGCTGGCTCTGCAAGCAATTGCACTTCAGACCAGAAAGCATTCATTGGCACAGCGTTTACAAATATTAAAAGTGTATAATACATGGCATATCCCGGAACTGAAATGGTTCGATCTGCTTATAAGCTCCCAATAACGAAATCAGTCTCAGAACAAAGCCCTCGATCCGCTGCTTCCTACTTGCCTTCACCCGTCATTTCACATCCATTCCGGCTTGACCATATTTTGGAGCATTTCTTTTTTAAAGTTCTCCCGTATGTCTTTCGTTCAGTTTTTTGACCTTTTTTTATTTTCTTTTTCTACTTTCGTCTATTTTTTTACTGCATTATTGCAGCGTTGCTGAGTGTCTGCGCTGTCATCCGCAGCTTCACTTCAATCGAACGATGGTCGAAGCCATGCGCTAGGTTCAACGGCAGAGCGACGACAATCGAACGATTCTAATTAGTAATCAGAGTTTAAAACGAGTTTTCACATTACCGACCGGTTGGACACTGAGCAAAGAAGAGTGACAGTCCAAATTGTAGGCAGAAATCGGAAATCCTTAAGTGGAAGGTAATGATGATTGTTTTGACACCGGTACATATGAAGTTAAAGCGGATCCTGAATCAGCCTTCCTTTTTATACTGACGTATGGATTTTTAACGTGGTCATTACAATCGTAAGCTCCCCCTAAAACCACCTCGACTTGAGTTCTTCAAAACATGAAATATTGTTAGAAATAAGGTATGACCAAGTGGTGCCGCTAGCACAGGTATGACTGGGATCGATACACAGCTTCCCTATCTCTCGGGTAACTTCATTACCAAGTTCCTATGAGAGGATGAAATGGATTTTGCAATCCCAAATCGTTGATTGGGCCGAACGCAAAGATAAAAGGGTAGGTCCTTGGACGTTTAACCCGTCAGAGAAATGCGCCCCACGCATTCGACTTCCATTCAGAATCGTAGTGGCGTTGAATGCGCATGTGGCCTATACAGGGGCTTAGCCATTTGCAGGTCAGTACTTTTATCCTCCCAGACGAGTCTGCTACCATCTGGCCAATTCCGGAGGGATGGAAGGCTTGGTTGGCTTGGGCGGATGTCGATCCGGGGTTCGAACCCTTGGCCATGTATGTGAGATAGTGCGCCTTTCGCCATTACACCACCTCCGCCCTAACTAATAACATTAAAAATAAATAATAAAATAGCGTAAAACGAACGCAGGGAGGACCCGCGAGAGGCATGATAGAACACACAAACGCCTCGTTTATTATTTGTCGTCATTCCTGCTCCGTTTGGTCATTCTTCGCAATATCCTTTAACGTCATGCAGTGGGATGACTAGTAAGCGATAGTAATGACACATAACCCTCGCATAATTTTTTTTCTTACACATGCTTTCCCCTCTTCGCTTTAATTTTGATCCCGCCAATGGTTCGCCCCTACTCTCGAATCACTTCTTACAACATATCAATAGATTAGGCTGTTGCATTGTTAGGTTGTGTATCGCGTGTTTTCATAGAATGGAATTATCGATTACACGCGCGTAAAATCAATGCCCAAAAAAAACAGGGAGTAGTAATCCTAGCCACTAGATCGAGCACTTTTGTCTCTTTCATGCCATTAAACACATGTCGAACTTGTGGTTTTCGATACCGTTTTTGTTACCGAATCAATGCTTTCCAAGCTTTACTGTGAGCATTCTCAGATTTTAACTCTCACTTGTGCATGCCACACTACTAACTGGTAATATTGACATTTTCATATCTCCTTGCAATATTTACAGAATGGATTTTTTTTGTAACTCTGTCATGTTGTTTCCGTTGACGTTATTCAAAGACGTCGCTATAAATAATGCCCAGTTTGTTTACTGTTACAGCAAGCCACTGAATGGACACTGACTGACAGGTAGCTGGTAGGATTCTTTGGCCAAAAGCGCCTACAGTACATATAACTACGAGAAATCGCCAGTCAAGGGTCAAAAACCACGAGCCCAAAATTCACGGATGGCTGGGCTAGACCAAAGTCCAAAGTTCAGGGATTGTCGGACTAGACCCAAGTCCGAAGTTCAGTAGTACGGAGCAGTTCCTGTTTCTCTTCCATCAGCTTCGTTCATTCTGAAGTGTTCGCATGTTTCGATACTCACATATATGTGGCTTTCATAGCGGGTATTATTGAAATAAATTGAAACTGACCATTTTTAAGCTCCAAAGCGAGCGGGTCATGGAAGTACTTAACTAGCGATTTGCTGCTTAGGAAGTTGAAGTAACAAAAAATACGAAAAATATAAAAATAGTCTAATAATAGTGTTTAGCGGCGGTCGTCCATACGACCGGTTGTTGCGGTTGTTGTTGGAGGTTTCCAACTCTGAGGAAGGCGATAACGCCGAAACGTAAGTTGATAAGAACTTGTTTACCATCTTGGCATCAGGTTTTAATAAAATCTTATAAAATTATTGCAAAACTATGCCAAGATTTATCGAGAGTCGAACATGGATGCTTAACAAAAAATATTTTACTGAATTTTTTTCAATTATTCAAGCTGAACTGAACTTCCACGATGGATACTAAGCGGATAATCCAAGTTTTCAGTCAGTTGGCAGGATTGTGAGACCAGTTAGCGTTGATGGAATAACGAGAAAATTGCAAAAAATTGAAGAGTGTAAAATCATAGTAAGGTAAAAGTCTGTTGGGGAATTTTCGAAGAAAAGGTCCTGTGGTATCCTCTGGGAGTAAAGCACGGTGTGGAATGGTTGCTGGTGTGGGAATCTATAATTTAGATGCTAACAAGTTAGTAAACAGTCTGACTTGTGTCCGACAAATTCGATGGTTTTCTATACCGACTAGAAAGTTCCAAGACGTACACCTTATGACGTCGACGCGATTTTCTGCTATTGCGTGGCCATATCAGTGAATTGGGAGAATGGTTCAACAAGGTAAGGCAGAGTCACTTTATGGTGCGACGCCGATGTCGNGCGCTTACGAATAGTATGCTCGGGCGAGAGACACTCAGACGGTGACAGAAGGCAACGCAATTATGCGGAACTTGCAACCACGAGTCATCGTTTTCTTTAGGCAAACTCTTTCATGCTTAGATACCATCTCAAAAAGTGAACCTCACCTCCCTACTGCGAAACGGAAATCAAAATTTCTACACCTGAATCACCTCTTTTTATCCATACTCTGTCGACCTGCACCCTCCATCGACGAGTAAGGTATTTAGTGGCAGTCGGCGCCGGCAACGCCATCCCGACGCTGGTACTATGTACGCGCCCTTCAACAAGGAAAGAACGAAAAAACGAATCCGCCCAAAATGCTTATGAGATGCTCAAGCACATGGGCTACTGACAAATATTCTGTGCAAAAATGCCGCAGACCCAATTCAGAAGTTCTGCACCCGTTCGCCTAGGGGGAAGTAGGAGTGAAAAACTCCAAACAAGCCGAGTAAGCAGGGATTAGTTGTTCGAGCTAGGTGGCAGGTGAACCCCTTTACAAATTCTAACGTTGTCTAGAGCTTGCTTTCAAAGGTATCGTCATTCTATTAAGAATCCTTCAGCCGTTAGTTCCGAATCCTCGGAATTTACGACCAGACCCCGGTTCGGGATCAGGATCTAGTACTCACCAGTACATTTACCTATCTATTATCGTATAGTACAGTCGCACCACTACAGAGTAGGGGTGTAGGCGCAGTCGCCCAAAATCGAGGCTACTGTATCGATTTCTGCATTTGCGCGTGGAGTTCACTGTTTACGGACCGATTCAGGATTCGGAGGGAATTTGCAACGTCACTTTTAACGGTGAGATCTATAAAAACGTGGGAATAGCCACTTTTCCGGCCGGTTTGCTTAGCTCCACAGATCGACGTGAAGTCGCTGAGACTTGCTGCTTCGTGTTCCACTCGTTACTGTTTCCAGCGACTCTGATGTACGGCTCTTTATCAGGTATGGTTACTTTTACTATGGGCTCATTGTAGGGGTTAAGAAGTTTGTAAGACGGGGGCAGATGGATTGAAGAAAGTTTTGTATAATACGAATGTGTTCACAAATGGCTTTCTCACAGTAAAAACCTTGTTCCAAAATCTTGCCGACATTTTTGCTATCTGTCTGACGGAGATCGCTCTCCAGTTGGGTTTTATTTCACTTTTGTTGTGCTCTTTGATCTAATTTCGGAGTGGTGTTCTTGAAGTTCTCCCTTTCCCCATCCCTTCCAATATTCAGGTTCTGCCTTTCATTTCACTCCAAACTTCCTACTAAACGGTCCAAAGTTTCGTTTCCATGCTCTTTGCTGAGAAAGGCGATCATTCAGTACGCTGATTACTCCGATGGATTATTGTGTAGTAAGAATAACTAGCCCATAAGGTAATGGAAATAAACAAAAAAATAAATTGGTAAATGTCTTCACTTCAAATCTGATATTCACAAAAGATTTACACTCGACTGTAAGAAAGGGAACAGGCTATAAGATAAGGTACTTGCACGCGTTGATGATGTAGATCGGGAATTTGTACCTGCTCTCGTAATCAATATTTGTCGTTTCCTGATTCTTTTTGTCGATACTCTGATGTCATAGACCGCAGATATACATTACATCAAGTGGGTGCACCCATCTGTTCGTTTTGAGTTATCTGCTGCCACAACAGTCTTTTATAGGTTCTGTGCCCATGCCAACGTTTCTCAAATCATGTAGCGAAGGATTCTTTAAAAACTTTACGTTCTGATAATAATGAGATTTGATGTACTGCAAAGTTAGTCAGTGTCAGTCTCCATAAAAATTCGTGGAACTAGCGAGCGAACGATGTGTTGGATCCTTGTAAGTCAGCTAGTGAGAGAAACCCGCTAATATTTTTCCTGGTACTCAAATTATCAATATCCTACGGTTGAAAATCGCCAGTTCACTTTGACCCCACAACCTATAAACCGCTCTGAAAGTCCCGTCCTTTGTTCTCATGCCATACGCTGAGGAAAACCTATGAGAATTGGAAGACTGCAAGTATGAGCCTGGCAGGCTTCATAGATTTTTTGATTGAGTTGCTGTAAATCAGTGCGTTTAGAGTCGACTGTGCTTTCGAGCGCTGATACAAAACCTACGCCGGTTTACACGTTTTTCGAGGCCTCCGAAGACTTCATTGAGTTCCTTTCAGGTAATCCTTCTACCAATCTTGTAGCATAATGTTTTGGTTCTTTTTCTTTTAGGTTCGATTTCTTTTCTAGTACGTACACTTGACTTCTTCGGGAATAGAACAATTATTGTTATTTATTGTCTATTATTGAAATCATGTATTGATAATGCTATAGCGTCGAATGACAAATCAGAAGAGTCAGTAAAGAGGCCTCTGCATTGAAGTTTTCCGCTGTGTACGTGGTGCTGTTCGAATAGTAGAAACCAGACGGCGACTTCTCTAGCGAACTTAAACCTGGCTGTCCATATAAAGTGAAACAGCTATCTGCAAGCTCGCGGGGCCAACATAAAAAATTTTGAATTTTTTTATTTTTGCAAATTCATGACTGCTTGTCGGTTTACTATAGTCACTGAAAACGAATCAATGTATTCCGATATTAGTTGTCTTTTTCAGGAAGGGATTAACTTCTTGTACGGTTTTTCGGTTTTTGTAATTTTCTTTTAATGGAACTATCATTTATCCAATGGAGTCCACAGAAATTTGATGCCGGACTGAAACAGGAGAGCTAATTTCTTGAATTTCTAGGGCGTATTGGAATGCACGAAATACTGTTGCATGAGGACACTTCAAACGTTGAGATAAAGTTGGAGCCAGGTGGATTCGGAATAACCCATCTTCCAAATGTTCCTGTAAAACCTATAGAGATGTCACTTAGAAAACTTTACCATGACGTGGAATTCAGCAAGTATGACCTTCCTTCTGGTTTTTCCGATTAGTTGTTTTTCTTACAATTACAATTTTCTTTTTGTGAATTTTCTTCTTCGTAAAAATGTGTCCTAACGGTGCTCGGAGAAGGAGGGAGGGGGGAAGGGCGGAGGCATGCCTGATCGCTTTATTTCGCAAGTTCACAGTGCTTTACTGAAATAAGTCAGGCCGAAAATCAGTGGTTTCTAGGAAACCACACTTTTCAGGTTGATTTCCAATAGAAATGTGCTCTTTTGAAACCCTCAAGGCGACACGAAATGCTTTGATAGCTCCGAGTGTGCCGTTTCTTAAGACTGAGTACGATTTTGAAGGTCTTTGCGACTTTCATCCCTGAATGCGCGCTGCACGGCATCACAAGTGCTCTACCTCACTGCACTGCAGTACGCTCTACTACACGAAACTAAATTGGCAATATTGCGAAGTGCTGGGCTTTGCGATATACTCGTGAGTTAGTGGTGTTGATTTTTTTATTTTCTGATTTCGTGTACTTTTTATATGTACCAAAAAGATAATTTGAAATTTCCAGTGAAGGGTTTTCGTCCTTTTTCGCGTCCCAGCGCTATATTTAACTTACTATGAACTTTGTTCGTTCAGTTAGTGGAGCAGGTATAGATGAATGGTAGAAGTGAGTCATGTTATGAGAGAAGTGATTCCTGAGAAATTCATATATTTTACTTGATCTTTTTGATTGAGAGTTGTAGATACTGAAATTGCGCCAAAATAATATGGGTAAGAATCATGTCAGGTTGAAAAGTTAGACCCATATGGAATCTTTTATCTCATCCAGTGCGAGTCATACCTGTGGTTTCTCTAGTGCAATTTTTGCATGGGCTGGTAGAAGGGTTTTATTTTTGGTCCCTACGGCTAACTGTTTAAAAGAAGATTAGTTGCCAGTTCATTGGACTCATCTGGAATTAAAAATTGAAGCTGAACGTTTTCTGGACGTTTCCGGAGCTATCCGTGCTTACAAATCTCTATACTTAAAATTTTATTATTTTTTGTTTCCAGATGGACAATGGAGGTCGTATTTGTTTATTCGGCAGTGTAGAAAGTGTAATAGAAGGTCACATGGCTATCAAGAGGATATTCGTTGAGCAAGGTCTGGGTGAACCGAGGACAAGGCCTCCGTCAGCGCTTGGAGTCGATTGCGATTCGAGTAATGAGTTGTTTTATGTAGCTTCATGAGGGGAACATTATTTGATCTGTTTTTCGTAATAGTGGGATCCTTGAAGTCGTTCGACTTTCTATTGGTGCCCAGCCTGCAATGTGAGCTGATGGGATGTGTGAATGGCCCTCAGGAACATATCCGTTTTCCCCAGTACTTTTGAATGTAAAAATGTGAGGGTAATTGGCTAATCTCTTACTCATTTTCAGATAACAACCAGGTCCCATGTACTCTTGACGACGCAATGGTGGAGAAGAAGGCAGTAGATGTCGATTGGGTAATTGTTTCTGTTGATAGTTTATCAGTTTTCAGTACAAGTAGTTACCGTCACCTCGTGACCGCAACAAGCAGCTCTTATGCGCGCGGTTGCAAGTGGTGAAATAACCAGTGCCAGTGTTTCTCTAGTAAGAACACCATGTTTTTGTACAGTAACGCGAACGAAATGGTTGGAATGAGCAGCTTTGATCTTGCAAAGCGGTTTTAATCATCGCATGCTTAGTAAGCACCCCTTGCGATTGGTGTGGGGATTATCAAAAACTCGCCTAAGATATGACTGCAAAAGATTTCTGGTCATGGTTGATTGAGAAATTATTTTTTCCATAGAATCCCGATACATCTCGTCCACCTCCGCCCCTTCCGACAGGGATAGATCTTCTACCATCCGAACATACCATTTCCCATACGTCAACGGTTAGTTAACATGTCATTTCAATCGGGATGGTATACACAATCATCGAATAATGCGCACCTGCCCAGAATTTCCGTCTATTTCAGAGTGGCCGGGGGAATTCCATCTACCAGTCATGTTCCTACAACTCTGTAGCGAATGGTTCAAGTCGGCTGTCGCCTGAATCGGAATCGTCCACACTTTCGACAGCTTTAGCAATTGAAGACCAGCGTAAAGCTATTGTCGAAGAGCCTCACCGTAAAAGTATAAAGTTCTTTGTCAACTTAGCTGATGCTCCTCGTCTCATCGGAACCCGTGGAACCAACAAGCGACGTATTGAACAGGTCACCGGTTGTACAATTGTGGTGAGTTTTGCTATTTAAACCAACTTCTTATATGATAATTGGTCTAAGGGAAGAAAATGATAGAAAAGTCGTGTTATTTGAAGCGATTTACAGATTAGGTTAAACAGAGCTTTCATATATGATCGATCACGAAAGCAAAATAAGTTTTTTCGTTGATCAATCAATTTCTTTTCTCTGCCGCTCTGTTTTTTTTACTTCTTCATTAGAATTGGTGAATACAGTGCCTGCTCAAATAATTCTTGAAATTAGTCGAAATAAGCAAATTTGGGTTTTTTACTGTTGTTTTGTAAGACGGTTGTTTTATAGCTGAGCGTTGATAACATGGTCTCAACCAGGTAACCCATACCGTTAAGGTACTCCAAAAATCATTCTGATGTAAGTAATATGGATAAAGTTTCTATGTAATCAGTCCCGTTTGGATGCACCACTGCACTTGACTTTCATTCAGAATCATAATGATGGTTCGAATGCATGTTTGGCTTATACAATAACTTACGGTGGCCAGCCGATAAACAAGTGCCTATATCCTTCCAAACGAGGCTGGTGTGTGGTAGTACGTCATTTACCCCTGAGCCACCTCGGCCTAGAATTAACTAGCTACTCTCATGACCACTTTGACTAGGTATTATCGTATTCTCTCTTGCTTGAGAGATCACTTCGTCTGGGAAATAGTCACAAAATCAGTATACGATCCTTTACTGCAGCTGCTATTTGGTGGAAATTTTGTGATTGAGCTAATTACGAGTAAAACGTACGTCGTTCATTGAAACTGCTTTCCAAATTCATGAGTTGAATCTCTATGCAGTGAACTTTCCTTACTTCACAGCAGTGTCAAAGGGAACCACTAGAACGAATTTAGCGTCCTGCTTTCGAAATAGGTCGAATAGCCTAGTTGCAGTAGAAACTGAAATGGTAGAATTATACTTGGACCAGACCAGCTTCAGAATCAATAGGTAATGTAAGGTTTACTTCGTACGAGGTGTAGGTAATGCAGCATTACAGGCGCAGTTTACGATAATTCTGGGGTATCTGACGAAACGAAGAATGGAAGGGATTCCGGAATAGTGCACCAGTGGCAGAAAAAGCGCGAAAGGGTCGTATTTAAGGATATATAAGGTTTCAAAAAAAAGTCGTAGCATAAGGGTTGGGCGATAATGAACGACAAAAGTTGCGTGGAAGAGGTATTCGGACGAGCTGTTCAAATGTATGTGCTATTGCGTATAGCTGGCTACCGTAAGCTGCCTGCGTGCAACCGTGCGAATTGTGCTACCTCTATAGCTCTAATAATGCCGTGAGAACTCGTCCACCTTTGAGTGTGCTCGTTCGTTTTTCGACTCGACAGCGCCCCTTGCTATCCTTTGGGGCCACAAAAGACTAGTCAAGTATGTCGATCCAATCTTACAGGTGTCTATTGAGAATTGAAATTGAAATTCGTAACGTTTTCAAAAAGCAATTTTCAATTCTGATGCTCTTAAAATATTAGCACTTGGTTTCGATAGATTTAAAATTGAAGAAGGCTTAGTCTTCGATTTTTACAATGTCGTTTTTCAGTTGCACACTGAAAAGAAAGACAATGGGGAGTTTCCAATAGAAATATTTTCGACGTCTTCGAAAAGATGTGAAATCGCTCGGCAGCATATTTTGGGCTATCTTGCCAACAGTCGTACTGCAGTGGAAGATATGAGCTCTTCAAACGTTAAGAAAGAGGTTTTCTTTTTAACTGTTTTGTTTTTNTTTTTTTTTTAACCTCAGCTTTGCTGAGTAGTGTTGGGATAGGTTGTAACCGTAAACTTTTTAGTTCTACATAAGTCCGAGCCCCTCGAACGAGCTGAACGCGTTGGGAAGATTTGTGTAGGAATACGCATTCGGGGTGTAATCGTCTTGGTTGTGTCGCTGACCGCGCTTCGGTTCAATTATTTCAGTCCGGACCTTTCATCAATTACAATACCATAACAAAGTGTGCTGTCCAGTTGGCTGAGGTTATTACACGAGCAGCTTCTCGTCGACTTATTGTTAGTTCTGACAAGGGGATCCCCATGATATGGTAACTCGCTGGTGGATTGTAGCTAAGTTAATTTAATGATCATTTCCCATATTTTCGAACCAAAGAAAACTGCCTTCTGCAATTGTGCATGGGATCTTATGTGTGAGTTGTAGTCATGGGTAATCTGAGGAAGCGGTGTTAGTGGGTCTGCATCGCTCCTGTGATATATTGAAGTGACCCCGGGCGAGCAGAAATGAGAATTCCGGAGGCGATGAACCGTTGCAGTTAACGGGTAGAACTTCTCTCAGAGGTTTGTACCTACCTCCAGTTGATAAATGTCGATAGCTTGCCGCAGTCAACAGAAAATATGTTCCTTCTATGTTGTACTTATTCGTAGAGGCCGTGGTTATGTTGGGTCTGAAAGCTAGACTGTTACTATTCCCTTTTTGGAAGGCCCGCGTTCCTCACTGCCTAGTTGTCTTTGAGGTTCTATCATCCTTCATCATCACCTTTTTTGGTGAACACTTGTTGCCGAGAGCCTGTTGCCGCACTGACCCGACAACTTGGAGATCTCTTTTGTTTCACTGCTGTAAATAGTTAATCCAACGTAAATAATGTTCTTTAGTGGGGGTGTTCTTGATAGCGTTGATAAAGCGGTTTTCTTTAATGTACCACTATATCCAATCCCATGTTCAGATTCGCGCCCGCCCCAAAGTGCACCTTGACATAAGCCCGA